TACAAAACTATTGCAAAGATTTATTTACTTTAAAAAAACCCAACAAAAAAAAAAAACCAAAACCCAAACAACCCACAGCATTTTATAGGAGTTATTCATAAAATGACCTACTAGTATGTAACTTATCCTAAGTTCTGATATTTATCTTTGTCCCACATACAAAGGATCACTTACATTATTGGGGTGGGGTGGGGGGGTGGAGTTCACTAACCCTAAACCATGGAATATAGAAATATTAATGACTTCCCATGTTGTGGTAAAATAGAAAGTCTCCTTTGGTTTGTAATTAGTTTGCTCAGAATATTTAAAAAGATGTGTGGGCTTCAAGATATTTAGATTACTACTGATGTAATTTTAGTTGAATAATTGTTCTGTAACATTAGAGAGAAAGAGAGACAGGAAAAAGAAGAATCTTGTTTTACCCATCTTCCCACAATTAATCCATTCCTAGATGCCAGACTGAGGTTTTCACAGACTGCAATCTAGTTTCCCATGATGGCTATATGTAGCAAATCTTTTGCTACTAGTGTTACAGTATTATGAAAGACACCAGACTTAAATTAGACACAATCAATGAACTTAAACTTGACATTTGTGCTAATTATATAAATCAAGGAAATTTGAGAAACCCATACCTCCTTATTGAAGTTGAGGAAGTAGTTGGTTTGATCTGTAAGGAAGATCTCCAAAGCTGACCTCCTCAGGTTGTACCGACGCAAATGTATCTCTCGAATTTGAGAAAGGTGCCACTTGAAATCAAAACCTACCCCTAGGAAGAGCACTTTGATTATTGACTTGGAATATATAAAAAACTTTTCACATAGACATAATGCAGTATCATTTCCAGTCACCCCAGAATCATTCCTAGAAAAGGTAAATTTTATACGTGGCTTGATTAACCATTTTGCTAGGAAAATATTATTAACTTCAGATATTGTTCTGCTGAAAGAAAGAGGCAGCAGGAAATATCTGATGGAATGCATTTGTTTTTGCTTTCCGATCAAAGACACATTATAAATGTATTTTCTTGACAAAAAATATGAACAGGGTCAAATAGAAGCTTTTATGGTTAGAATTCCCAAAAGGCCAACTTTCTGATATACTGTTTTTGAAAATTTTACCATTATTGGTGAAACATTTCAGTTCAGTGTTTTCATACTCAACTGTGTACATTCTATTAAAGTTCACTAAATTAACATAGATGATTAATGTTTACATACTACTGCTTTTTAAATCACTAGTTACTACTGCTTTTTAATCCATGTATGAGTGAAAACGTCATTTGTCAGGTAGAACAGGGAGGTGCCATTTAAGCAGCAAATTACAGGTAATGACTATTTTTCAGTCAGCAAATTTAATTAATTTTTTTAACAAGTTTTTTTTTTTTTGAGAAATACTAAGAATAGTGAATCAAATTAACAGCTCAGCAGGTACGGTTCCAGATTCTTGATTCTGAAGGTATCAGCCAGCCACTGACCACCAAGTACAATATTAAGTACAGATCCACAACTTGTCTCTTCACAATTAGTTTGGCACTCATTCTCAAAAAAAAAAAAAAAAAATAAAATCAAACTCAGCCTACTAAAAACAGAATGCTGAACTGTACTTAAAAAAAAAAAAAAAAGAGATACTGATCATGCTCACCTTCCTCTTTTTCAATGCTGCTGTCAAAGAAATAGATGTGCTGGGTAGTGATCTCCAGCCTGCCAGGTATCACATCAATTACTGTAATGAGTTCACAGTCTTCAGACAATATTAGTTTTTCTTTCTGACTTTGCTCGTCCTTCTCATCCCTACAAAAATATCACTAAGTGTTACAGGGTTCGGTAGATTATACACTTGCTTAGTTACTTGGTAAGAGTACAGTTGCGAAAAGAATCAAATTTGAATGGCATTAAAAGTACAACATAAGTGATTATATGAAGCTACTTCCATCAGCAGTCTTAGATGTTTCAGACTAGGCTACCAAACATCATTTCATAGCATTGCTCTTCAGGCTTGATATTTCAGCCTCAGGCACAATGGACTTGACTGCCCTTGAGTATGAAAACATGAGGCTGCATTTCTCTCTCTCATTTAATTGCCAGGTGCTTAAATTTTCTGGCGCAGAGCAGAGCTGAGTCCTGATTCATGTGACTAAAGTTATCTTCAGAAGTATTTGAAGTAATGGTTGCTCAGAAGCCTATAGATATGACACATCACAAGCAAGCATTTAATAACCTTTAAGGTACAAGCAAATGCATTGGTATCACTCAAAGACATGCCACATGTCTACCGGACTTCAACAGCATAGACACACATAGATGCACACACAATATCACATGTCCAGCTACTGGAGTAAAGCATTTGCTATCTCCCCCTGGCTGCCCCCCCCCGCCTTTGTCACACAGGTGACATGACAGAAGCACAGCAGGCCTTCTCTCTGGAATGCTCTTAAACACAGGGGACTCTCTAGCAGCTTAATGCCAATCAAACAAACATCCAAGCTATGCAGCTGATGGCGTAGGCATAGCCCTGGCATCTATGGACAAGAGCCAGTTCCAGACTGGTCTATGCACTTACAGAGCGGACAACCTCTTGAGAATTATAGCCAATGTACCATAGTAAAAAAGCATCAACAATTCTGTAGCTTCAGCTTCAGACCAACTGTGAGCAGTGAATCACTAACAGATCCTCACAAATACCTGCTCTGCCTTCTTTTCCCTGAGGCTCTTTATGTCTCATTGTTGACATAAATCCAACAGCAACTTTTCTGCCGTTCAAAACTACTACAAAGCCCTCAATTGGATTGTTAAGGTCAGACAAAGAAAGAGGGAAGCTTTGTATGCTAATGAACTCCGCAAGTTGTTTCTCACTCCTAATCCCTATCACAGAAACAAATTTCAACCATTCTACTCCGCCATACTTACAAATTGGAACTGGCTGCTGTGTCTTCCTCTGGTAGTTCAAGAATATCATCTTCCAAATCACTCACTTTCACCTGCTTCACTGCCTCCAGAAGCAGAGACTCACTAGAGGGCTGTGTCTGGTGCACACCTATCACAAACAGACATTTCAACTCCGAAATTTTTTTGCAACAGCACTTTCGGAAAGCTAAACTACTGAGTGTATCTTCTACTGTTGAACGTTGGTTTTAACTAAGTAAGAAGCAACCAGGCTTCTTAAATACTGCCAGGGGTAAGCAGACCACTAAAAATACTCCTTGAACTACACTGAAATATATGTCAAAATATGACCGTATAAAGGTAAGACATAAACGCATTAGAAAATTTTAAACTGAATTCTAATGTGGACATTTCCAACAAAATATTTTGCAGTGTTCTGCCAGACACTGTTAAAGCATACAGATTTCATGGAAATACACTGCATTTCTTTTTTGCTTACTCAGGTTTACAAGAGTTCTTTTTTTTTGGTTTGAGTCTTGATATCCAATACGCCCAACTTAAAGAACAGTTTACACCACTAACTGTTTGGAACACTTCTGAAACAAAGCGATTCATATCTACACATTTTAATCTTAAGTTCTAAAAGGTTTTAAACAAATACTGCCTGCTTACTCTGATCTCGTTGTTTCCTTTTCTTGAAAAAAATAATCTTATGCAAGAAATCTATGTGACTGCTTATTTTAAAACAAAGGAGTCAAGAAAAATACACATTTCAATGAACAAGGGGAAATGAATTCTATTCAGTAGGAAGATGGTGTTTCAGGCCAAAGCATCGCTCTTATGTTACACATTTTACTATAGAGGAAATAAAGAAAAATCAAGATTTAAGCATCTACCATACACTAATTCTTAAATACAAAGAGTAAAGTGTGTATCTTTCTTCAATAAAGATTGAAGAAGCCCAAGTGAAATAGCAAATACGATGCAGCTTTACCTAAATTATCTCTCAGGTCACTAGCATCCTGATGAGAGTTGAAGTTGTAATTCTGCACTAGTTTTAGTCTCATACGGGAAAAATTTTCCACATTTGAAAGTTTCCAGTGAATAAGATGCTGTTTCCTAGGAAAACAAGAATATTCATAAAAACAGTTAAAAGAAGGTAAAGACCTATATGAAGCAAATTATTACAACAGAGTACGTATTTAGAAAAATACTGGTCATCTACTTGTACACTGTAAAACATAAGAGCAATAAACAGCATTTTAATTTTATATTTCATATTGCAGCTGTGATCATCCTAAAGCACTTTGTAAACAGTATTTATTTTCTATTGAAACACATCAGATTGTTTATGCTTTCAGTTAATGACACTTTAAAGAATAAAAAAAAGCTTTATCCAGAACTTACCCAAAAAATAAGACAGGCAAATTGTATTCTTTTTAAATTGAAATTAACTTCATGCATAAATAGACTCAAAGTCTTTATTAATAAAAGTGTATTCTCTCTTTTCCAAAAGAACCACTGATCCCATAGGATCTCTCAAAAAGTTTCTGCCATCTCTTCATTGATAACTAATTTTTATTTTTCACTTGGCAAGAAAATCTAGGATCCAGGTAACCAGCTCAGCATTACACTTCAAACTTTGCATTTTGATAATTAAGTGCAGAAAACATTATAAAAGATGCATTCAATATTAACTTCACATCTCAGGAATGGTTATCAGAGTCAATGTGACTAGCTTCTAACTATGTGAAACAGTAAGTTAGTCATATGAGCATATTCCTTTTAAGCATCATATACGGTTTGATTTAAGAACTCCACTCTTACATTTCACACCAAGGACCACGTTCAGAGAGCAAGTAAAGCTGGGCTGCTCTCCACTGTCTCATAGTAGCTGTGTGTTGACTATTAAGTTGCTTTAGCATACTGTTGTACCGCAGATTTTCCTGTCGAGCTTTTCTGCTGAATGGTTCCACAAAATGCTCCTGAAAGACCATTAAAAATAAATCTAGCACTGAAATTACTCTCACCTTTGAAAACACAGTTTTGTGGCTTGCAAGAATTCTCATAAATTAGGAAGGAATAAAAAAAGTTTATCAGTAAAATCTTCTGAAAATTTAAAGTAATGCTTACAAAACAAAGTTTAAAAAGCTTAGTACAGGAAGAAATAGCACCAAACTTCGACTTAAAAATGAGAAGAAAGGGCTATCAATGCTGAATCCATATGAAAGCAATTCTTCATCATTATCAAAGTCGTCAGTATTGGAAATCCTATTATAATAGGTAAGATTTTTCTTTAAATTCTGGTATTTTATAATATGACTCATATTGTATTCTACCTTTAGCTACTTGAATAAAAAGGACTTACTAAAACGATCCTTTTTAAGAAGACTAAGAGAAAGAAGAGAAATGTAACTTAGCTATGATATTTGCTGTAATTATCAGTTAATTCTAATGCTTAAACTGAGTCTGGACCTTATACAGAAAGGTCAGTTCAGAAACAATTTTTCCACACATTAAATAGTAATGTTCACTGTTTTAAATGCTTTCATTGTATTGAAAAATACAAAAAAATAACCAAAACCACACTGACTCAGGTCGTAATGGAGAATTAGTTTTAATAATTTAAAACATAAATCACAGTAAAAGAAGATGCAGCTTATAGCTGAGCATAACTCTAGGTTGCTGTACTAGCAGAAAGGCCTACTGTTCTGAAATAACTCTGCTTACAGGCAATACTCTTAAATAGAACAGAGAGAATTAAAAAGCATATCCTACAAGTGTATACAGTCACACTATCCATAAAGTCTTAAAACAATTAACCTGCCTGCAATCCCTTGAATTGGATCATCCTGGAATTCAGTTTCTCCACCTTTTAGAATGCAATTCCTGAGATAGTTCTTTTAAGAACAACTTGAGCTCACTCAAAACCTTACCTGAAATTTAAGCTTACTTTCTCCCCTCTCCCGGTCTCGCTTGTGCATGTTCACCATAAATGCTTCATAACAATCTTTCCAATAAAGTGCCATCTGCTCGTGATCATGTCTGAATGAATTCTCTTCATACTGCTTCATATTTGGAATAATCTGATTCCACCAAAACAAAAGAAAAACCATTATGTGATTTCTGAATGAGTTTCTCTGCTTTCATAGATAAAAAGAGTATGAAAACAATACAAAAAGAATCTGTTACTTACATATTTGTCAATATAAACTTGCCACTCATCAGAGCTGCAGTATTCTTGGAAGTCCTCAAAGAAAGATGGGCTGCCATTGGTGGGAGGCAATGAAGGGAGATGCAGGTTCATGAAGAGAAGTTCATAAATCTTGGATACCAATGTCCGAACAAGGGGAATCAAAAATGAGTAAGTTTCTGTCTTCTCTTCAATTGATCTGCTCAAGATGCCTTCCAGCTTTCCCAAGAGGTAGCATGCTTCAGGTTGACTCTCAATTACTTTGGTCTGAAGGAGGGTGTTTAGTTTAGCTGCTGCCATAGCACAGACCTACATAGGCAAACAACAACAAAAAGAATGCAATCATCCAAATAGTAATTTTGAGCATCTATCTTTTTAGCACAGGAGTATGTACATGTTCTGGCTGCATCCCAGGCAGCCTGAAGGCACACATGCATCAAACATGAGCACTGATCATTTCTTCATCCTGTGATAACCAAACCTGGGTCAGCTGCAACCCCAAAGTCACAAAGGTGCATTAAGACAACCACATACCTAAACTAACAATCCTGGCTTTACTGAAGGGCTCATGTTCCAGGCACAGCTCTGCTAACTTTGTTCCAAATGCTGATTTGGCAGAACAGTCCAGGTTCATGTGCACTTAATGTATGTAAACTTGAAACTGCTAATAAATGTATTTTATGGTAGAAACAGAAAGTCACAATCAGAATCACTATCTTACTGCCGCTATTGCCTACATAGTTCCATCCTCAGACAGCTTGCCCTCTGCCTCTTTCTCATGCTCAGGAGGTGCACATTGACAGGACTGTACAGTAAATTTGCAAATGGTAAGAACCAATAAACCATCTTCCCTATAGAAGGAAGAAGGACTGCCATCAGTCTGCTCACTGCTATGAGCAGCTGCCCCATAAACCACAACCGTTACATCAAACATGCACTTAAAACAGTACCACTTGCAGAAATTTGCAACAAACCTGTAAATTATCTTGTGCAATGAATCCAAGGAGCAACTGGACTTGCACCTGTGAAAGCCTGATCGCTTCTAGGCCAGCAGAGTACCAGACTGACAGGCTATCCATGAGAGTCACTAGTTCTTCCAAGAGCTATTATAAAAACAGAAGATTTGGATGAAATAAAATTAACAACAGCTACTCCAGCTGGAGACAAAGAGCTGAAGAGGGGGCCGTGTTCACACTTCTAACTTACCCAAACCCAGAAAATTATCCCAGAACGCTGCAGTTAAACCAGTAATTTGAAACAATTCCTGACTACAAAAGTCTATCTAGCCCGGTAGGTTAACTCAAGTATCTCCCCTGAATAAAGTCAAAACCTGTATATAATACGTAAGTTTATGTTGTGGTGGTTTTTTGTTTTTTTTTTTAAAAAAAAGTAGCCTTAAAAAAAACTCTTTTTTTTTTTTTAAGAATTTATCATGATATAATGATAGTTTCCATATAATACCTCTCCCCTTTAGCCTTGAAAAATGGAAAAAGCAATGACAACTCAGACAGTGAAGGAAGCAAGACCACTGCCAGAAATTACATGAATGTTGAGACAAATTATGGGTGTCTACAACACATATATCAAGGAGGAAGGAGAAACAGCCAGATGACAGAAAGCTGCTTTACCTTACTACTTATTGTGTTTGCTAGTCATTTTCTTCCTCAGACTTCATGTTTCTGACTCTGATATATAAAATTGAGCTATTTGCACATAATGCACATATATGCACAAAGTCATGTTGAAACTCCAATACATGTCAAACCCCAGAAGTGACATTTCTCAGCTTGCAATTGAGAGGAGAATTTTTGTCTGGTCTTTTATTCAGAACATACACAATGAGTCATACATGCTGATAAACAGTGCAAAATCTGCTTAGGCTATAACTGACATTGTTTCATTAGCTCCTACATTTTCTAAAAATTTTTTCCAGTCTGAAGAGACCTGGATTTTCAATAAAGAGTACCACTTATATACCTATTTATTTTGCAAAACTAACTATATTCCCTGTAGCACGTATACACACTTTTTTACTCATTGAGGGGCAATCTAATCCATTCCACTATGAACCCTTACTCTGTAATATCTATAGTTTAAAAACATATGCCTAGAAGGGATGACACTATCCAAGACGACAACTTTTTCATTATTATTTTCAGCCTATATACAGTACTTCTGTTATGTGACTACTGTACCTTTTCTGTCCATAAATTCGAATTAACTAGTCCTTCTGCCTGCAGGAAATCTTGTACAATTAGCAAGAGCTTGAAGGCATTTTCAGCATGCGTAGGGAGAGCTTTTGAATCTCTGTTATCAGTGACTGACCATTCTAACATCTTCTCGAGCAAGCTGCATGGAAAACAAAATCCCAAAGTAATTATTACATGTTCTAAGTGTAAGTGGCTTTAAAAAAAAATCCAATTAAGTATTTAATTGAATCTCTTAGTCTGCAGTGACATAATTGCCATCTTCCCGCTAAGCCAATGAGGTAAAAGAGATTTTGAGAAGCTCATGAAACCAGCAATACAGTTTCAAAACCTTATGGCCACATGACACTACTAAATAGGTACCAGAGAGCAAAGAAAAGTACATCTTTTTGGGAAACATCCAGCAATGTTCACTTCACTAATGCCCCTTACTTTTTCTGCTTTTCCTCAAAAGGGATGAAAGAACCCATCCTTGAACTGTATACTCACTTGAGTTTTATTTCATCAGACGGTCGCAACAACTCATTAGATATCCCCAGTTTGGTCAGTGCAGAAAACACCTGTCCTCTCTCAATCCAAGCAGCATCATCAGATTTTTCAATGCCTTTCCACATTATACACAGTAGAATGTCTGTAAGTAACCGTACGAGTTCTTTATCACCCCCCTACAAAAGAAGAGAAATATTTACAGCCCTTCTAGCCCAGAAAACCTTCAAAACATTTCTCATTCATCACAGTCCCTATGCTTGCATGTTTCAGCATTTTTGAAAACTCTGCAGTCTAAAGTCCAATTGCTAAATACGTAAAAATGCAAATATAAGAGACTGTGGCTTGCTTGTATGTTGTAGTATATACTGACTTGACTTCTACATCAGTATTTCAACCTGACCTTTAGCTACCCTTGATTTTTTCACAGCAAGTCTGTTCCATGCCTCCTCTGGAAGATAAAGAATGTTGAAATACAGAACAGAGCGGGAGAGTTTGTAGTTTTTTCTTTGTCTGGTTGGTTGTGTTTTTAACATCAAAGCTATTCCAACTAGACAACTGAAAAAGATGACACATTACAAAAGGAAGTGCCCCCACTCACTGTAAAAGCGCTATATTGTTTGCTTTTCTGTTGGAAGATGGGAGGCAAAAAAAAAGTACAATAATTATCTAGCAGGGAGATAATAATAATAAAAAAAGGAATTGCAGACATTAGAAAAAATTAACCACTTAGGGAGTGAATTACTTACTCCTTGGTTTTCAAATAAAGAAAGATCAGCGGTGAAGCTCACATCACTTAAAACACCCAGCTCTTTGTCAGGCTGCCCAGAGAATGGTTTTGTGTTCTCTATAGGTGATGGTGTGCTGGGCTGGCTATCTGTCATCTGATTCACAATGTCAGCCAACTCGTAAGAGTCAACACTGGACAGATCTAAACTCAAATGTGAAGGATTACTGTGCCACAATTCTTCTCGGTCCTCCGACCTAAAGGACATCTCTGCTGTGGATGCATCTTCCAGTGGCATAACAGAGAAATGAGCCGGGACATCCAGGGATTTGTTGTCTTCTAAGCTCCACTGGTCAAACAAACCATTAACAGATGCAAAGCTGCCAGTTTTGTCTCCCTCTGTCTTATCAGGTTGATGTTTCTGAAGCTCTTCAGCAGAAGGCTTTTTTTCCTCTTCCCTTGAGGAATCCGCCCTGCTCTCTTTAAAGCCAATCCGGACGTCTGAGTTTTCTTTCAGGAACAGTCTAATCAAAGTGTCCTGCCAGCCCAGCTGCTGAGAAATCTGTTGTGCTGCATCCAATTGGGAATGCAAAAGGTGCAAAACCTAAGGATAAGAGAAGATATCCCATACCTACACATTAATTTTAGCTTGTAACTGCATTCATTCTAGCTTTTCAATTAGATATTTTATGATGTTACAACATTTTTGCTTTTATTTTTAGAACCTTGTAAAAAAGCCACAATCAATTAATAATAAGCAAACAAGCCACAAAATCATTTTTCTCATTGGAAATATATATTTGAGAAAAAAGAAAAAAAAAGAATAGAAACAAAACTTTCATTATGGTCTTAAAGCATGCTTTGAGAAAACTCAGTAATTCAAGGAGTCTACTATCTCTAACCTGTAGAAAATACAAGCTATTTGAGAATCATGATAGAGGCTTTGCTTTTTGTTTTGGATTTTAAAAGGACTTGAATACACAAAATTCAATATTAAGCAACAGACAAGCTTCGTTTTTAACATAAATCGTTGCTAAAGAAAGCAGTAGCAACAAATACCCCCACTGTGTCTCAAATCAATAATTAAGATATCACACTGTACAGCTTATGGGCTTAAAGGACAGTATCCTAGTTTTAAAGATGAAAACTAACCTTTCTACAGATAACCACTCTCACGTTTATATCTGATCTATGAGCCAGATGCACTACAGCTATGAGATCTTTATAATTCACAGCAGGATCTGTAGGGAAGAAAGAAAAAAACAACACAAATGATATCACGCAAGAAAATGTAACAGCTAAATATTAAAAATTGCTTTGGAGGTCACCGCTACATCCAGGGGTAGTAAAGCAAACAAATTTCAGGCAACTAAGAAAACATTAGCTGAGATCAATGGGAACTTCAAACAGAATAGCTCTGTAAGGTAGCAACTCTGGTTTTCCTGAAAAAAAAACCAAATATGTTTGCCTCTGAGCAGCACGACTTTGCTAATGGTAGACACAATACTTGCCAATTACCTGCATACAGAACTTGGTTAAGAAGGTTTTTAATGAAAGAAACAGTAACTGGCGATTCATTCAGAAGCAGCCCCAGTCCAGAGTATCCCACTTCTCTGAGTCTCATACGGTGCTTACTACGTTCATAAACTTTAGTACATTTCAGCATCTCTTCCACAATCTGCAAGAAAAAGTACACACAAATGCAAAATAAACACAAGGGAGGATCCAGACCTCTTGAACTTGTATATGATGTAACATGATAAAGTAAACTTTAAAAACCAACTCAAACAACATGGACTCTTTTTTTTTTAAATTACCCAATACTTCGAGAACACTAATTCCATTTTGACTATGGCAGTAAACAATAACATCTAGCTAATGTAACAGAAGAGAGAAGAAAAAATTAAAACTAAGATGATTAGTATCTTTGCAATTGCATACACTTCTGCAGTCAGACCACTGAAAAATACAAATTTATGTTCAATTGATTAATTTAAGAACATATAATTCAATTAGTTACCTTGAACACAAGTTCTCTAAGCCTGTCAGAGTATCTTTGATGCAATAACAGAGCATAAAGAATATCAGCATTCCCTGGCTCAAAAAGCAGTAAAAAAAGCTGGTCTGGGGTTGGGCTGGAATGAAGTAGGCTGAAGAGAACGTCCAGAATTCCACAGAGCTACAAAATTAAGACAACTAAATTAATCCACAATTCATTCAGGCTTCATGCTCTGTTTGGGGAAAATTTTCTTGGCTTTTAGATTTTACCCTTTGCTTGTTATAAAATGGATATTTTGTCTGCTCAATATTACTGCATTTAAAATCAGATTTTTTGATACATTTTTTTCTACACATAGAACACCTTATCAAACTGTAATTAGAGCTACAAAGCAGTTCAAGTTCTGTTCATGTCTACAAAATAGAAACTGCATCAAAACAATTTCTGATCAGTTGAAGTCCAATTCATTTGGTTTTGTAAACTAAAAGAACTTTTCTCATGGCAGTATTACACACCATGTGCTTTCTGGCCTCTTAAGGGGAAAAAAATAACCAATAAAATATGACCACCTGCAGAGCGCTTTGTCAAGTTTCTAGTGCACTTCTATAACTTGCCTTAGCTACATCTAAACAGAACCACGCATCAAATAACACTTTGCTTGTGCTCTTTTTCTTTTTTGTTCCCCACTTTTAAGCACACAAGATGATTTCTAAACACCAATAAGCAAAACAAAAACATGTACAGTTTAAACTTTTAATTTATGCCATATTGGATACCTGCTCCTCTTCACTGGTGGCAGCTATGTATCCTACAATGCTCTGTATTTCTTCATGTGTTCCACCTTTGCTCAGGAAATATTTGATCAGTCCATAGAGGGATGTCCGTATTGTTCTCAGGTCATCAGGAGCCAAATCAGTGTCTTTACAGCCACTCCTATAGATATACAGACAAAAAGAAACCTAAGGAAGTTCTTCTTGACTCATTAATAGTGATTTGATTGCAGTGGTTTTGTAATTTTTCATTGACCCAGGTATCATGGCACAAGCTATCAATTTTTACTGAAGTAAGGCAACTGAATAGTAATAAGCAATAGTAGATCAGACTTACCAAGTCTATAAAAGCCCTGAAATGTAGACTTGTATTGATCTGGATACAGGTCAGGATTTCAGGTTTCCCCCCTCCCACCCTCTACAGGAAAGACCAAGGTCACTAGCCAATCTTCCTCAATGACATAACTATATTCATAAGCAAAAATAAATCACCAAGACTGAAAGCTAAGATTTTAGATTCCTAAAAAAGTCCTACTTCAAATTCTACAAGGATATAAAAGAAAAATAATAGCTTAAAATTATAAACACCCTCTCTTTTCATAATGGTAATGATATATGACTTAATTGGCATTGTTGATAAAAAGTCCTTCAATTTTGTAATTTTATTGACTTTTCCAAGCATTTCTAGTACCATTGTCATAAATTTTATATAATACTATCATAACAAAGTCAAGCAAAAGTACCGAGTCAAATTAAAAAAAAAAACTTTTAATGCAATTTTGAAAATTAAATCAACCACCAAAAGCCAACCTGCACTTTTATTTATTAATTTTCTCACTCCAATGATGGGGGGGAAAAAAACACCACAACAAGAGCCACATACATAATGAAAAAGAAACAAAGAGGTAAACGTCATACCCATAATAAATCCTCAGTGTGTCTAAAAGAAACTGCACACCATATCTCTTTCTGAAGAGTCTTCTGCTGTCTTTGATGATTGTAGAAAGATATTGTACATGCCCTACAATATAAAGTTTTCTGTTAGAACCTATATAAAGATTTATGACAAGTCAAAAGCACTGTGTCTTTGCGCAGTTGCCGAAGTCCAAGAGCTCACCAATTCTGAAGGGGAAGTCTCCACTGTTCCAGATACTGAAGTCAAAAAGTAAGTGTTGATACATCTGTTGCAAAAGCTGCATGTTCTTTTCTACTGAGACTTGTTCTATCAACAACTGTACAGCCATCAGTACATTCACATCCATTAAGTTGCTTGGCACCTTTCAACATAACAACAAGTGTTAGCACTCAAAATATTGACTATCCTAATAAACTTCATTTTTTAAAAATAAAATTTTAAAATTCTTTTATATTCTACAGCAATGTCTGCTTCCATTAAAGCAATAAAAGAAACATAAAACCAGTCTCGTTTGAAGAAGTCATAAAACACAGTATAACAAAAAAGCAGAACATGAAAAAAGGCAAAACAGTGTTTCACTTTGCAGATCAAGACCAACTCCTCACACCTTTTTGTTTTCAGAAGCACGAGAAAGAAAAGCATGTGCTAAGGAGACCTTTGAAGACCCTCACATGCTGGAAAACTAAGAACGTTTTAAAGTAATCAGGACCTCACCCACAGCATTCATTACAAAAGGATGTTTCTCAAATTTGCTCACCTTCTGCAACAAGGCTCCTAGGGTGGCAACTCCATGGGAGTGAATGAGATTTTCTTGATTAACATGGTGTCTCTGAATAAAGTGTTTTATCATCAAGATGAAAGTTGCAACAATGTTCTTCTCCAAGCGTGCTTCTGCAAAACAGAACAGTAGCAAAAGCCTCATGGTTTATTGTTGGACCACTGCATAAAAATAGAGGGAAAGAAGTAAAAATCGAGTGTTCATATTCCTCACTATTTCCTGAACTTCTCAACTCTTTCTCTGTTTGTTCCCTAGCTGTAGGCTATCTTTAGATTTTTTCAGTGCAGAGTCATAGCCATTCCATAACTCTCCAGAACAAAGTGACCCCAGTGCTGACTTAAGTTGCTTCATCCATCTGGCTTTAGATTACAAAATTCTCTTTCAGTTACAATCTTTTACATATGCTGCAGTTACTCTCCCTCAGTAGTTGCAAACTGACACTTACTAGCCATGAAAAAATGCAAACGCAATTACGCAAAAAAATAAGACACAGAGAGAAAAAGACATATTTTTTCACCCTTTATTCCACCATTTCATATTTGAAACAAAACAAAAAAAATGCCGTTTTCCCTTGCAAGGTCATTTCCCAGTTAAGACCAAAGGTCATTTCTCTGTTAAGACCAAAGTCCATCCTCAATACTAGCGCAGTTTTTAAAAATCTATTCTTAAAGTTTCTTTTCCTTTTTTTTTTTTTTTAATTTTAATACTAAAATCTAACTGTGTGTGGAAGAGCTAGGAGTCTCAATATTTTCCTAAGAAAATAAAAGTTTGGCTAAAGGCTAAACAGTGCTGTTCTGATGCTGCAAATCTTCACGTGGCTGTCTGACCAAGCGCTCAAGTTGTAGGAAAGCTCCTCCTATTGATATTAATAAGCTTTGCATCAAAATTAGCAGGAAAAAAAAAAAAAGCAGAACAAACTTTTAAGAACAGAAGTAAAAAAGCTGCATACTTTTACACTAATGTAATAGTAAATCATGAAAAGAAAAATAATGCTATTAAATATATCTGTATTTGAAACATGTTAGTAAATTAATTTAACGCAGTGCTGAAATCTGGTATTCAGTATCCACAGATATCTAGGAACAGATAGAGCCTTTCAGCTTGACATAGGTATTCTGGAAAAGCCAGCACATAATAAAGCAGCTTTCTGTCATTCACATGCAGACTTTTAAAATCAAGCTAAAAAATTACTTCAGTTCAACTGTACTTTCCTACCTGATGCCTTTGTGGATGACAATACCACCCAGTCTTCCTCTACAGGAGTAACTAGTTCTGAAGGCAGAGTTTCCCCTTCAGGCTTCTCAGGCGTCTGTCCACCAAGAAAACTGATCTGCTCCAGCAATGGAAACAGTACATTTACTCCACCAATACAGTTGATCATATCCTAAATCAAGAGAAAAAGGAGGGAAAACATCACAATAAGTAAAATCCCCATAACTACGTAACAGAAATTTACTCCAAATACAAGGAACCTTACATACTCACAAATTAATCAGAATCTTTCACATGCTACTTTGAAACTAGTTTAAAACTCTATTTAATAACAGAGCTGTGCCAGTTTTAGACGCTGCAATTACACACGTGCCTACCTGTCAGCTCTTGTTTTGAAAGTGCATTTTTACATTTCCTTCCTCCTCCCCCCACAGAAACATGGGAAACTGAAGGATACAAAACTTAGATAGACTTTTCTGCTAAATATATTTTATAAACAGGAGATACTTATTTTTCTGATTTCTAAGTTACTTGCAGCAAGCAGTAAGAAAAGATTAAACGCATCTGTGCTTAAACGCATCTGTGCTTAAATCATGTTCCTGCAAGATTTCAACTTCAGGCATTTAAAAAAATAATAAAATTGGATTATTTTTTTTTTAAGTAACTTTACACATACCTCAACTCTAAGCCTCTTTTTAAAATTCAAGTCTCCTAAGCCATCTTTTCTCCCCGCTCCTCACAAGCAAGGATAGCATGAGACTTAAACCTTAGCACAAGAAGCATTGTTTGAACACATTAAAATCACAAGATCTCTTGAAGTGATTCACAATGCCACTTAGAAAACCAGGGTCTCAGCAAGCTAACCAGAGACACCTAATCAGTTGCTCAGATTAGTCCAATGAAAACTATTGCGCAGTAAAATTTTAACAGCCAAAAAATGCCAATATCCTGTAGGCCAGTCTATTAACATGGGCTATCACTCTCCCTTCCCAGTCACAAAGGTTGGGGAGAAGTGGAAAAAATAATCTTTTTCTTTTCCATCGTTTTCTACTTTTTCAATCATTACTCTGCCCATTTGTCTTTATGATGCCCCCTCTCCAGCCCATGTTTATTAAGGTGAATTTAACAAAATGGAACAGTTAAATTAAGAAAGCTTTTTAAAATCTGCAAAATTTCTCATGGATGAAGATTTCTACATTTGTTGAGTGAAACAAGAGGCACCACAGACCTGCAGCTTTTGGAAACAGAAATCAACTTAAAGTTGAAAACCAGAATTTGTCTGAACCACAAGACAGCAGTAACTGTAACTCCTTCTAAGTTGTACCTATCTCCTCACAAGCTCCAGAGCAGCTCTTGTGTTTTTTCTGCACACTAGTCCTCAAGAGGGTGCTAAACCCCATCACGTTTGTTAATGAGTGATTCTCCTAAAACTTGAACTTATAATATGCTTTCCCATATCGCTAGAGCTATCACCCCACTACTGGGTGAAGAGAACAAATTGCAGTATTTTCAAAGTATTCATATCATAGCAAAATTAACTAGCAAGTGTCTGAATTTTCTTAGCATTAAATTCCACAAGTCAGCATATGCACAGTGTAGCTCCAACATTTCCTTATTAATTAGTTCGCTAGTACAATTGATTGTTCACTGTTCTTAAAAAAAAAAAAGCAGTTAATATTTATTCATTCATACGTTTTTCCTCAAGACAAAAAAAAAAGATGTCTATTCTACTGACAATTTTTCTACACTCAGACTTCGGATTTCCTTTTTTCTCAAAGCTAAGAGCCCTTAATCAAAGATTCTGCCTATAAAACAGAACTGGATGTATTCTATCTAAATTTAAAAGAAATAAATCCTCATTCATGTCACTGTTTCTGAATCAAACTCTGACACTCCAAATAACTTCACTTCCTCATGGACAGAGCTGCACCTGACTGATTTTTGACATTAATATGTGTTAGTGATCAGGGAACAAATAAGCAGACAGGTACACAAAGTTATTTATTAAGCTGGTGTGCATTTCATGGTTTCCAACTCCTCTCTGTGAACGAGCAAGTAGAAGACCATTTGCTATTTTACACGAAGACATCTAATGGACAAATAACTTGCCTAGATGGTATTCTGTTTCTGAAGCACCATGAAAGTCTAAACCATTAATACTAAATCTCATTGGCAGTGTTGAGTTGACAAAATTGCGAGCTCTAATTTTACACTATAACGTCAGATCTGACCTGTCAGTGGCCTAAGACTAAGGAATTAACTGATTAACCAGAAGGATGTAAGAATTCTATGTGTTGGTTAAGAAAACAAACAGAAAAACCAAACAAAATACAGGACAGTTTTGCTATAATAGAATGTTTGAGCAGGAGACTAAAAACAGGTTTAGCCAGAAAATCTTAAATATTAAGTTCCAATACTAATATAGCAGTAGTGCTGCAATTACAACCACTAGCAAAAGTTAAACAAAGGTGATTTGAATAGCCTGTAAGAATCAGAAATCCCAATGTATCCAACAACAAGGAAAAAATATCGGACAATTAGTGTATAGCAGAGACAGAGTAAGGTATAACGTGATGGTGAATATTTCATGTTTTCTCTGAGGTAAGGCTATTGGACTGTGAGACCATCTAGTCCTGTCATCCACAAACCAAAAGATAACTAGATTAACTTATCTCCTAAAAAAACACTAGATTCTTGTAATATTTTAACTCCATACTTTGTTTTTTGCTGAAGTTAGACTGCAATTCAATAATATTTTTTCTATGACTAACACAGCAAAAGTCACAAGTGTTAACTTAGCCCTACTAATCTTTTTCTAATTCAGAGTTTAAGACTGCAAGAAAACCATGACAGAATCCCCTAGAGACGATAAAATGCTTTCAATACATAACATGCATTGAACAGATTATGAAGAGTAGTCAGCTACCACAAAATATCTTAATGCATTCTATGACATTAAGAGCAGTAGCCCTTGTAAGTTCTCAATAAATGTAATGCAATACTACTCCAGCTACAGCATTCACCCATTATTTCTCATTACAAAAGCTGTATTTGCTAAACGTCATTTGCATTATGATAATAACTTCCAGCACTCCAAAAGTTAGGTGAATATATACAACTACTCTCTTATTTACATCAGGTTCTGCTTCTTCAGTACTCATTTACCTTGATGTCCCAGTTCACTACTTTGTTTCCAGTTAGTCTTCCATGTAAAAGATTTGCAGACAGGTCAAGACAAATTGGGTTTCTGCAGGCCTGTTAAACAAATTAAGAGGCTACAATATCATTTTGGAAACAAGTTACAGATCCCTGAACACATTTCTGAATGATGATATGTTGATGTGTTTCAGGGAGTTAGTGTGTCGATATTAAAGTATTTAAACAATTTGGAACTCCTGAAAACTCATGAAGTTCCACAAGGCCAAGCGCAAGGTCCTGCACGTGGGCTGGGGCAATCCCAAGCACAAATACAGGCTGGGCAGAGAATGGATTGAGAGCAGCCCTGAGGAGAAGGACTTGGGGGTGTTGATGGATGAGAAGCTCAACATGAGCTAGCAATGTGCGATCGCAGCCCGGAAAGCCAACCGTATCCTGGGCTGCATCAAAAAAAGTGTGGCCAGCAGGTGGCGAGAGGTGATTCTCCTCCTCTACTCAGCTCTTGCGAGACCACACCTGGAATACCGTGTCCAGCTCTGGAGCCCACAACATAAGAAGGACATGGCCCTGTTGGAGCATGTTGAGAGGAGGGCCACAAAAGATTATCAGAAGGGCTGCACACCTCTCCTGTGAAGACAGGCAGAAAGAGTTCTCCTATGAGGACAGGCGGAGACCAGTTTCCACTGGCCTAGTGGAAAGTGTCCCTGCCCATGACAGGAGGGTTGGAACTAGGTGATCTCTAAGGTCCCTTCCAACCTAAACCATTATATGATTCTATGATCATATATGTTATCTTAGATTTGACATTCACAATTGTACAAGATAATTCTGTCCTTTTGCTAAACAAGAACAAAACCTACTGGCTCTGCACAAGACTACAGTTTAAGAAAGCTCTCACTGCTCTTTATCTTCCCATAATAACCACAGTGTAAAGATGGCACACTCACCTGTTCTATGAAACAGCAATAGCAAAGCAAAAAAAAAGCACCATCTAGAACATATTCTGAAATTACTGTACACTGTGTAAACAAAGAGAAATTATGTATTGTTTCATACCTTTGGTGTATAATGAAGCAGCACCTTACTGGGGAGATCTGCTACTTCAGCCTCTTGAGACTTCCATGGAGTTAAACAGTTTGGGCCTATTGAAAAAAAAGTAAGTTACAGATAAAATTATATATTTATAACATAAATATTTAAGAGTCCACTGGATATTGATGTTGACCTTCATAACTTTTATAATACTATACTTTGTTGCAACAACAAATAGGACACTGAACCATACCTACGAGACATGCTTTGAAGTAATCTTTATGACTTAAATCACACATTCAATATGGTCTGCTTAAAAAGAAAATATAAAAAGCTAAAATATACAAAGACAGGGGGTTTTTTATACATTCAAACAGCTCTAATGTTTCTCTCTTTATAAATTCCTATCTCATATTTGTCACCAATCTCTCTGTTATTAAGAGCAAATGTCCAGAAAATTAATAATCTTCAAGATAGTTTTGTTTAGTAATACAAAGTATTTTCATTAAATGATGGAAGTGTTTTTATGCTAATCTCTAACAACCTCAAGTCATTATGGAACTTAACACCTTAACACCTTGAATTGTAAGACACAGCTTATCAGAATATTTTTTTTCAAAATGCCCCCTTAATATTAATTCTTGTGGAAAAATGCTCAAGCATAAATCACCTTTAAGTGGCCTATCAAAACAAGGGCAATACTTCAAAGAGTCTTAACTGTAAACTCACATGTGAGCAAACAGTAGCAAAAATTAAGTACTTACAAGTGAAAATACTACCTAACATTTTGATTTTGGCAGGTCTGGACCTATGATAAATAGATGAGCTTATGCAAACATAACATTTTAAATAAAACTTCATAAAATACTTCTCATTCCATTTTCAGCTTATTTGTTACAAGGGCCTCTCACTTAGGTCAGCTCTGCAGTTCTTCTGGATTGTAACTTCTTCACTATGTGTCAGTGTAAAGCAAAGCTCAGTGGGGTCTTGTCCATAACTGATCCCTTTTATCCCACTAAAACCAGTAAAATCACCACTTACCTGCTAAATATAATGCTTTCACCTGAGGAGGTTGCAGTGCTTCATGAAAGATGATAACTGATCCAAGTTGGCCCTCCAAAGATGTTGGACATCCCCATTCGCTGTCCTGAGTCCCTGCTGAGATCATCTTAGTGATAAGCTCTGGTTTTCCAAGCATCCCACCCCAACTTCCTGTAGAGAGAATGCCCCCAAGTGATGTCCGATGGGGCATAACAGGGGAGGAAAAAGGTGGATCCGGTATCTGAGATGGAGGAGGAGTTGTTGTTCTTTGACCAGCTGAACCAATGCAGCAAGAAATAAAGGACTGGAGAGTCACACATGGAAGAAAAAACAAAACACATACTGTAAATCTAACCTCCTATTTTCACAGTTTACAAAGTAAATCTGAAGACTATCTCTAGCAAAACTGAACTAAATAAATTAAACGAAGAGCAACAAGTTCTGGCATGCCCTGAAAAGAAGCAATTCAGCACAAGCCAAAAAAAGAGCATATACTTTCCACAACAGCAGAGAGTGCTCTTTCTCCAATTAAGAGCAATTTGGTCACCTGAACTGTTGTATGACTGGCAGGAGCAGAGCCAGGAAGGACAGTGCTCCAGATACCCGATAAACACTCCTCTTCTGGATTATATTCCAAAATACTAGCTCATATACTGTACATTTCTCATATCAGTTACTTCACTAAAATAGATGCTCTCGTGGGAAGCTTACCTGCCCTACTTTCAGCTACCCTTGATGTTTGTAGTGCTTATTCTACAGATGGGCCAAAATCCAGAGTTTTATCTCACAATGGAAGTTACATTTACTCTCATTTTTTAAGTGTTACTCCGATTTTACTATGACTGTGTCCAATTTAAGTGTTTGTTCAACATATTTAACAAATATCAAATTAGGATTTACAAAAGAGCAAAGAATGTTCAGTGTTGTAGCCTGATTTAGAATGGAATTGTTCCACAAAAAGAATGGACAATGCTTACAAAGAAAACTAAACATGACATACACTTAATTTTGATGGCTATGCGTTTTTTTTAGGCTAAACGTGTACACATTTGAAATGGTTAGATAAACTGCATGCAAACCGCTTATCCAGCTAACAAAGCAGGTATAAGATTAGCATACTAAGGGAATCACAGAATCACAGAATTTTCAGAGTTGGAAGGAACCTCTAGAGATCATCTAGTCCAACTCCCCTGCTAAAGCAGGATTGCCTAGAGCACATTGCTCAGGAACATACAGAAAATACAAGTAAAAAAAGTTACTGCTGAAAACAACAGGGAATATTCCTCTTCGAGTACCATCACACCAATCCTATTGGCAGAGGTGTGATTTATTATGATTCATTCATCATAAATCGTGTCAGTATGCTCAGGTAATTATGTTGCAGAAAACCTCACAATCTAATCAAGGCTATCTGTTGGGTTTTTTTATTTCGTTTTTAAACTGACATGATTAAACCAGCGTTAATTAATGGTTAATTATACTCAATATTGATACTTTGGACACTGTCCAAAGTTGAGCAGAAGCTTATTAGCAATAGGCTAAGCTATCTTAAACTCTTACACAATTTCCAAATTAAAAAAAGCCAACTATGTTCTCACTGTTCTGTGAGAACTCATCAGGACAGGGGTATGACTCAGAAGGCAAACTTACTTCATTCATGGCGGGGAATCGAAGTGGAGCAGAAACCTTCTGCTGTCCATTGACATAGATGTACACAAGGCTCTGACCAAAGGGCCTCTTTCCAGGCATGTGAACAATAGTTATGTTGTGCTGGTTAAGCAATATAAAATAATTAAGTCATTATTAAAAAACAGTGAAATAACTGCGTGGAAACACTTAAATTAATCTCTATTAATCTCATGAGTAAACCACTTAAGAAAATAAATCCAAAGCATCGACCAGAAGATAAGACCACCTGTAAGTGGCTTCCATTTTAAGGTAGTTTACATGTAAACAGGTTTTTGAAGGGAAAGGGAACCCTCAATTCTTGCAGTCTGAGGTGTTCTTATGGGAATAGAAAAAGGCAAGGCAGAAACACAGTAGCACATTTTACTCATTCACAGAGCACCACAGCCACATATGCTTGTTATAATTTAATATAAAAAAATCTGCATGTTAAAAAATCTCCAGGCACAATGCTGTAACCAGAATGTCAATAACAAATGTCTAACATAGGCATAATTTAACTCAATCAACCACTAATCTACATGGAAATTGCTTGCATTATTTGAGATTAGATCTGTTATTACACAATAAATTGTTTAAATATGATAAAATAGACCATTTGTAACACAACCAAAAAAAGTGAACTTCGACTTCTGAGCTAACATTACTATCCTAAATAAGGTGTTTTTCAGTATCAAATCTTACCCAGAGAGAGTCAAAAAAACAATGGTCAGGCAGCATCACTGTTGCATATTCCCTCTTTGTGCAAACTGCAACCACCAATACCCCAGAGTACGTAATAAATGCTTCAAAACCCATACCACTTCCTGTAAAAAAGCTACAGAGAAAGACAACAAAACACACAATCAAGGACTTTCTTCATCAAAACTACTGGAAATCACCTAACAGTGCATTCAGTAAGGAGAGAACCAACTTAAAGCCATTTGTCACTGGTTCAGTATTTGGCTGTTACTCTTGTTTCAAAAAAAACAAAACCAAAGACAAAGAACTGCCTCAAGGAAAGGACTCCAAGGCACAGGACACAGAGGCCAAAGGTGATCTCAAAGCAGCTTGTTGCCATCCATCTCTTACATGAAAACATAACGTTGGTCACAACAAATAACGCTTCAGTTCAACCCACACAGCTTAAGCTGGTTCTGTTGCAAAGTCCTGCCTGCTACAGTCTCTAGAAGCTACAATATTGTAATAAAGAAGAGACTGGTCTGCAGCCTGTGCTGTTTTCTATCAACTAAATTGTGTCTGTCAGCCCTTGGTAAAGCTGTCAATATTGAAAAACCTTTTATTTTTTAAGCATTTGAATACAAAAATTACATATAAATTGCGAACTGCTATCAAAACCTGTTAGACACCCTTGGGTACCATTATTCCAAGTGGATGCACGAACTACGGTACTCTCAAATACCTGCATCTATCAATATAAAAACACAAACACACCCACAGAGAGCATGAATATTATAGAACACCTCAACAGACATAAGCTGCTTACAATGAAACACTGTAAAACATAAAATCATTAAAAATTGATCTAGCTGCTCAGTTGTGTGTTTAACACTTCGAGGTGAAACTGGAATTTTAATTTAAAAATTTCCTCTTTTTTGTATTAATTTCAATACACTACTGTTTTAGCTTTCCAAAACTAGAATAATGTCTTCAAAGTTGTACATAAAATGATAGAAAACCAGTCAGTTATTAGCATAATAGCATCACATTGAAATCCAATTGCAGCTTTTTTACTTTGTAGTGCAATTCCACCCCAGTTTTCTAGAACTACAGTCTACTCAAGATCTTTAGTGGGACACACTGACAAACTCTGGAAACAGTGTTGTGGCAGTTGATCAGGGCTGTGCTATACAAATACATAGGGCAGCACAGAAACCCAAGGGGTCTCCACCTGCCACCACGGTTATTAATAAACCAAAGTAACACTCTAAGATACAGGGGGTTTGAAAATACTAATTCTGTTATGACTAGAATTGCATTCTTCAACATTTCCCTGAAACTGCAGTGCAGTAAAATGGACTGAAGCGAGCAAGAAATGCTTCAACTGGTATTCCCCCAAACTGCATTTTGTTTGCTGCTGAATGTTAGCACCCAAAAAGTTAAATTATATCAAGAACCATCCACGTCAATATCTACTATTTAAGCAAATGAAGGTGTTCTTTTCATCGCACTTTCATATAGGAAACAGATTTCATTACCTTTACAGGAAACAGTGTTCTGTTTTGGGGTGTTGGGTTTTTTGCCCCCACCTTTTTTTGTTGTTACTGTTTTGTTTGCTTGTTTAAGCTATGAACCTGAACACAATTTGGAGTTATAGATATTGAAACTGTAGACAAGAAAGCATTATAACTGAGAAACTACATGCTTATTTCTGTAAAACTGCCTGGCTTTGGTGACAGATGAATCACAAACTAAGCGCTATATATTGCATTCTACAAACATAAGGAGAAGTACCACATGTCATAGGGTACCATATGCTGCAGGGAACAGTTGACAGAAATTTGTGCTGTTGAAGTAGTTATAGTAACTATACCTATAGAGTTGCTTCCTCTTGCCACTTTTGCTAGTTGTGCTAGGGTCCACGCTGTCCTGGTCAAGGCAGAGCCAAGCGTTGAAAGAAAATGCAGAGCCTGGCCACTTATGAATCGATGGAACAGCAATTCCAGCCATGCTGTGGTACAAGTTGAAATACTGCAAGGCACTAGCCATGCCCTGCTTCCGGGCCATTGCTAGAATGGCTCGCATCACTGGAACAACATAGGGGTGAGCTCGTTTTGGTTCCTCAGTCCTCAGGAGCCGTATTAGTTGGAGCAGCTCTTCTGAGCCCATTGACTGGCTCCCCAAAGAGCCTAGAATGGCAATCAGGTTCTCTGCACAAGTACAATGGAGCGCGGAGTGGGAATTTAGTGTCTCAATGATACGGATGACCATGTTCGCATTGACACACGTGGCACGACTCTGTCTGTTAATACAGCAGATTCGCCTCAAGCAATTTGAGATGAAAATCTGCAGGTCATGTGACTCGAGTTCTGGAAGCCACTGGATAAGCAGCAATAAAGGCTGGACATTACTAATGCCTAGTAGCCCAACAGCCATGTGGTCACCTTCAACAGCCTGAAAAACAGCAGAGAACTCAGACATGAAATACAATAAAATAGGGCTACAAATACTGTTGAAAAAAATGTCAGTGTTTGAGCATTCAAAGCAAGCACATCTCACCATATTCATGAGTTCTTCCAGCAATTCCTGTGAGGGCTGACCCAGTGATTTTAGTACCTCATATATGTGTGAATAACCAATCCTTTCCTTGAAGACCTCCTGAGGATAAAAATCCCAGTCTCACTAACAAATAAAATGGACAAAAAATGCTCATCTACTGCAGCAGGTTCTAATTTAACACAATATTAGACACAAAATAATTAGAATGCAAGAAAAATACTTTACAGGCTAGAAATCTCTTTTTGATAGTACGTCCATTGTGCTACCTCTAGCATGCTGCAGATGAGAAAGATCTCACTGCAGCATGCAGATAAAGAAATTAAAGATCGAAGTTTATTTTAATAATTACCTATACAAGAATATAATTGTTTTGGTATAATAAAAATGTTAATTCTATCACAAAATACTACTATCTTAATTTTTTAACACAAACCATAGCATGAAATGAAGTGATTACATCAAGAATTAGAAGTACTCGGATATTCATTTTTGAGTGAAAGATTTACCTAGACCAGCTTGATTAAACGCCACCCATCCCAAACACTTCAAAAATCACAAAAGTGTTTCAAGAAAGTTTTTCTGAAAACTAATTGATTTTACATGAAGAAAAAAAAATAATCAAGCAGTAAAATCCAAACTGTAGCATCCATTTATGGTTAAGCTAGAAAACAGCCAACACATCATATGGAATAGATAGTCTTCTGCCGACTATATTCTGCACTGAAATTAACTTTTTTTTTTTTTTAAAAAAAGGATGAATCTGTCAGCAGAAGCAAGATGACTGGTTAAGTAAATACAGTAAGAAAAAATGCATATGCTGCACTGGAAGTACAATTGAACACTTTACTGACCCTTTACGAATCACAGCCAGTCCCCACCTCCGACATACAACTCTTCCCAGGCTTTCCAGAGTCAGTGGAGAAATAAGCACTCTGAGTAATGCTCTGGAGAAGCATAATTGACCCTGTCGTTTCTCACTCAGACTGTACTGCAAGTAGCAACCAAATCAGGTGACTCCCACTCTTCCTTTAGCCTCCACATCCCTTTCCCTGTGCCAAGACTAGGGAATCATTCAACCACGCTGTCAATCTAATGAACTCAGTAATCTAAGAATAAATACACTATTTTTCTGTGGGCATAGCTTCCAGTCAGATTCACAAACTAACCACAACCTATCCATTTATCAAACCACAAGAATAACTACAAAGGAAGGGCAGGGGAATGGCAAGAACGCTATTTGGACCACAATACCACCTGGGTTAGTTTAAAGCCATGATAAAACTACAATACAAACTCCTGCCTGAAAATTCCTGCAAATACTCATTAATTCTACCCCACGTATTCTGGGACAAGTAACAACGTAATTCCTTTACAAAGGTTCCAACTGCCATTAACACTCTGATCTTCCAGTTTTGATAGAAAGATGGCTCAGCGTCCAGCCATTAGACACACATAAAGGGATAAGGGAAGTTAATCAGGTATTCCTATCTGGCAGGAATGTGTGACCACAATCTGCTCATCTTCATTAGCAAGACTCATCAAGACATTGTGATAAAAACACTAACTAGGAACACCATCAAAAAACCTACTGCAACCAGACTTCTGCATATATACTGTTACCTTAGCAGCTGGAGACTTGTGCATTACTGCTGTGAGGGCTTGAATGGTTGATACTGCCAAGCGGTCTATGTGTCCCTGAAACACCTGAAAGTAGCAGGTACAGAAGTTATATAAAAGTGCGCAAAGACAGTTCAGCTTCAAAATCAATACTGTGCCCTCCTGCCAGGAGGAAAACCACAAGTTTGCCAACATGCTTCAAAAATCATCTCCCCACCAGTCGAGATATCGTAACCCCACGGCTTACAAGGAATCACACAAGAGTAGACAACTAGCCACATACTTCAAGAGGAGAGAAGCATTCACAACACACATTGCACTTCAAACATTCTGATGGACAAACAGGTTTTCCTCATGCGGCTAATGGACAACCTCAAGAGGGAGGGAGGAAAACAAATTAGGAAACCTCTTGCAGTATGTGTGTGTGTGCGCTGCCGGACAATGAGGCACCTGCAGTTCATATAAAGTTTTCTTTTTCAAGCTCCTACACGCCAATGCAACACACACACACACACACACAAATTATAAGAGATAATTCACACGAGCACGCTAAGGTGGCTGCCTCACCCATAGCCTCATCACATTGATCAACATCTCTTTTTCCAATTCAAGTCATCTTTTGAGGGTTTTTTTCCTAGAATTCTTGTTTCTATTGATATTTCCATGGTGGTTTTAAGGACAAAAAACTTTGGAACACTATCAGTAAACCTAATTAGCAGAACTGTGCAAACAAACATAGTTTCATCATATCTGAAATATTATATGCATATCAGACATATTTCAAAAATGAAACATCAAGAATCAGAAGACAGTGTTAGATGTGAAGAAACATTTACATGCGGTTAGAGTGTCGCACTGAGTTTCTAAGAAAGCCAAAGCTATTAGTTAGAATCACAATTTGTAGATTCCCTTACCTTGTATTTAGCATTTCTTTATATTTTTAACCAGAACAAATCATTCTACTATAAAATTAATACAACAACAATTTGCATTTGAAAGTTTCCACAATATTTTGGGAAAAATTAAAGCAACAGGCTATTCCTACCTCCCTGATTCAGCCTGTCCATTGTTTTGTGAACATCTGTTCTTGGTGACAAGCAAAGAATCAGGACATCAAATACAACCATTGAGATTCACAAACAAGGCCCCAGAATCGAAAACACCACAGTGCTGAGACAAAGAAGCAAAAAAGAGGAAAGGGAGGAGAAAAAAAAATCACCACCAGGTTGATAGAATTTATTTGGATTCCATTCATGTACTTCACCTTTTCCTTAAAAGAAGCATAACTGAGGCTCAATCTATCGCAAATATCTGCAACTTGAAGCAGACAAATAAAACTGAGGTTGAATTGAATCTGTTAGCCAGAAAAAATATTTTCCAGAGACAGGAAATAGTGATGTGTGCAGCAACACAAGTTCATCTTGCTGCAGCAGGCTTAGAGGATGGTTAAGGTGAAGCACAGGAATCAATTTTCCTGTGATTGTGTCTTGAGTTCAACTGAAGCAAAATACAGGTTAGGTAGGTACCTGGTCCTCATTCATTTCTGTCAGTAATTTGTTGGCAAGGTCTTTCTCACTCTTGTCTGCCACTTTATTGTTAGCATTTAAAAACAGCTGTTAGGAACAGAGACAAGAATAATGGAAAGAATTGCATTAAACAGTTACCTGCAGCCAAACCTGTGGAGGCTGCCTTGGATTTGCATTTCACATAGAAAAAAAAGTAATTCTCACACTGGTGAGACACGAATGCTCCATTAATATTAGTCTTCTGTTAATTCTTACAATACTGAAGATTACATTGTATTTTTGCTAAATAGGAATCACTTCTCCCCCCCCAGAATTAAATGAAAATATGTAATTGCTGAGGCAAGGAAACAGATCTATCCGGAATTTATCCTAGTCACTGGCTTAGCAACCATGACTTCATTTACAATACGCAACACGACGGGAGGTTCTCAAAAATTTACTTGTAAGAAATAAAAACAATTGTGGGGCACTAGTAAAGAAATGGATACACGTTTCACCATTTTCCACTTATGTTTCATCCTAGGTGAAGGCTGAAGATACCTAGATACAATATTTTAACCTTCAAACAGCAACAGCATTTCTGGGGCACATAGTGTCTAGGACAGGAAGAAGGGTAAAACATCTCTGCCACCATCCTAAGAATCCGACAGGTTGTAAATAGCTTTAAATCAAACACACACCTATCTTGCATCTTCAGTTAAGAAACTGCTCTGCATATAGTAGCTGGATCCCTTGTCAGTTTCTGAATTTGCAAGTTTAAAGCTCACCCAAATATCTTCATAATAGATTGCAGTCACTTTGTGTGCAAAGTTTAGCTGCAACCAAATCAAGACTAAAATTTATCATCTTCTGGTTTTACATTCTGTTGAGGTATTAAAAAAAATCCCTGATCAAAATGTTTTAAAAGTCCCTTCAAAAAAAGAAAAAAAAGGAACACCATTTTCCTTTAGTGGGTAAAAACTAAGCTTTTGTCTTTTTTTTTCCCCCTCATAAATTTTGTTCCATTATCTGCTAGGTAGTCTCTCTGAAGAGGATCAACCTGAGAAATTAACTTCCATAAATTAGGGTAAACAGAAGGACAACATTCAAGATAATACTTTGACTCACACAGGTGTGAAAGCACATAGTTAGAAACACAAGTAATTTTGAACAGTACATCACAGTCAAGAGCACTTAACACTGCAGAATAATTATAATATGACTCAGAGGATTATAACATTAAGAAGTGGAAATAAGAACATTAAACAGAAGCAAATGCAGACATGCAAAAAAAGAAATCTAATTTTTCATATGGGTTACTTTAAGTCTGATGACACAAGTAAAATGGAAAAATAGATTTTATTACAATGTCCATATGGTTTTAATTCTTCTACTTAAAAGCTGTTTAGAAATTAATAATCTTTTTTAACCAGTCATACTGCTAGAGGTCATTGTGCTTTGCTCAAAGTCTGACTTCTAAGAGACTTTAACAGTTGAGAAAAGATTCCAGACTGACAAAGCAGCTTATTAAATGACTCTCACTATAGAATAAACACCTCCTGATACCTCTGAAGTACAGTCCTTCTTTGTGGACGTCACAGGCAAAAAGCAACATTCAGATCATTAAAACTTAACTGAGCAGTTTTGAAAAGCTTTTGTGCAGATCTGTAACCCTAGAGCATAGTTTAGGGAAGACAGGTTGCCCATAAGCCTTAAAACCAGCAAATATGAAAAAAAAGATTCAAACTTGAACTGCAAATGACTAAGAAGTATGTCTAGAAGTATGGCCTTGAATATCCAAAGATCTTTAGGATATCTACAGCAAAATAGCAGTACGGATTTTGTTTACCCCCTCCTTCCCATGGAAATTTCTTGCACTTCAAATTTGCTGAAGATCCAACAGCTTCCTGAGTTTCACACGGACTCTCCCGCTATCTGCGGAGCTGCTGAACGTGCTTTACACAGCTTGCTGGTGAACCCAGTGGCAAGATTTTCATAGGTAAATAAAAAATATGTAGAAATAGGGTCTCCACCCCCAGCTAATATGGCAAAATCTAATCCCACAGCTAAATTAATATTTGCTATTTGGCTTTGAAAAAGAATGGAGATACAGTATATTGGAAAATATAAATATACAACACCTTCCCAGCTTCCACTCTCTCCTCACTTCAGATCTTTGGGGGTATTTTGACTGTGAAAGGTTAAAAAACCACCCACTATGTAGCAAACTGGCAGCAGTGATATCCAACTAATCACAGTAATATGTGAGGCTGTATCACAGGAAAAAACCCTCAGAAGAGCGTACCTTATGACATACATACATACAGGCAGAATAAAAATAAAAGGATCAAGCTGCAAAAATAGAGTAGCTGTCCCTGCTTTCTTAAATTTCACCACTTGTTTATATGAGAGCAGGAACATAGCTAGAGTCTCCAGGAACAGGTAAACATCACACTGCTTGATGATTTAAGAAGAAACTAAAAAAGAAATTTCTTACACAGTACAAGGTCAGTACAAAAATAGGCACAGATTCCCAAACAGAGGAAGAGAATGGAAAGGTCGAACAATGTATTTTCAGAAGGAGATAAAAAACTACAAACGCTATTCAAAACACTTGTCGGTTGGCATTCAGCCACTGATTATAACTACAGTTAAGACATAATCCAAACACATTTATTTTTAATATATCACTGCACTGAAATATGTTCCAACTCAAAATCTACATGGATTTGAATCAAATTGCATACTGTAGCTAGCATTAAATTATCTAGCTTTAGAAGAGCTCAAAATAACTACGCCACCAACATATCACAAAAAGAGAAATAAAATATTCCACAGAGTTACATCATACCTGTGTTGTTTTTTGGACAGGGAAAAATGAAATCTACAAAGCAATCAGTGGGAGACACTAGCTTGCAAATTATGACCATCAGGGATTGAGATGAAAACACAACATCTACATAAACACTAAATCAAGAACAATCAAAGAACATTTGCAACAGCTTGAGCTCATGTTTTATGTCAGCTACACAAGACTCAAATATTTTGAAACACTTACAAAGGCACACCAGCAAGGTTTTTTTAAATGGAAAAAAATATGCCTCTGAAATTAGAATTCAGACCTCCATCTGGCAGCAGTTGTAAGTGACTTCCTAGCAACATAGTGACAGACTAGTAAAAAACAAAACAAAACAAAAATAAAAGGGGGGGGACGAGGGACAGGACTGATTCCAGTAACAACCTTGACAGATTTTAGAGAGTGAGTGGGGTCTGTAAAAGTATTTTGCTCAGGACTCAAAATATGCATTTGTTGTTTTAACCACAAGACAGACAAGAGACATCTCTACTTCAATAGAAATAAAAAGATTTTTAGAGCAACCTGGATCTTTCAGGTCTTTCATGGCATTAGTAGCTCTAACTGATGCAAAGTTTTACTTCCAGTATGCAGACACTATAAAATTACATCTAATTCAGAAGGACAGTATAAAGGTAATTGATATACCTGCAATATTACATGACAAGTTTTGTTAAGTTTTGCTTGATAAGGGAAAATTTACCTTGCAGTTCTGTAACAGTCGAATGAGATGCTCAAAGCAGTTACTGTTAAGGAAAATTGCCTGCAGAACAGGCCTATCTGTGCAGTCTAACATGGCTGTGATGGTATCTATAAAATTAAAACAGAACTAGCATCAAAGACAAAACACTTTCCAAATCCATTAAGCATTTTTTCAGCACATTACACAATAAATACAGGGGGAAAAATATACAAACTATATGCTACGAATTCTTTGATCAAGAACGACGTGCGTTTTAAGCACAGAGCACTAGGCCTAAAGCTAAACATTTTGATGCTGTAAAAATTATCATGTAACCTACTATATCTGGAGAAAAATTCAGCTACCAAATATCCTTGATTGCTTTATGGGCTCTGTTTAAAGTCATTACCATTTATGAGTACATAAGCAGCATGTCTTTTATTTGAAGCACACAAACATTTGCTTCCTCATCAAGCAATTACTCTGCATTCTATAAATTTCTTACACTACAAGCATTCATTACTGCCTCAGTACTATTCTTCAGTGTTCTGGGAAGTTTAGGAAAAGAAATACCTTTATTTATATTTACCACTCTGTACACCAAAGTGGAAAAAACTCCAAATCCTGAATTCTAATCTAATGACGTAAACCCAACTGTTTCAGACCATCAGCTTTGGCCAATGTTTACAATAATGCCTTTTGAAAAGCAAACTATCACAAAACAACCACTATATGGGTATTTTATTACAGACCCATCTTATTCTGTAATTATTAAGGTGCTGATGAGTGTCAGCTGTTGCCTAGCAAAAGTTTGTTTGGTTTTTTTCTTAACAGATAATGGCAGTCCATGAACCTTGACACTGTGACTATATGGTGTAGTGAATGATTAAACAAGAATACTTCTAAAGTACTGTCAATGAAGAAATGTTTGAAATTTTTCAATTGGTTAGCCAAGTCAACGTTTTTTGGTAGAACATTCAGTTACATTACTATCATGGTTCAGTCATGACTTGCTTCAGAGTTTTTATCAAGAGATATTTAAAGGAACTGCACAATAGGGTACTCACTCAGCATTTGGATTTGTAGTGCTATGAACCTGCTCTCCCACTGCCTGCATCGCCTTGAATTAGGTAAAGCTGAATGGTCTGAATTAAGTAACTTGAAATAGTTCTCCAATATTGTACTCGTCTCCACTTGCCGCTGGTCAGAGCTGCTGGTTAGAAGGATATGGACAACTTCTGTCAGGCACTTCAGAGTCAGCTCTGCCTTCCTGCTCACTTCCTCAGGGTTCCTGTCATCCCAGTTGTCACAGTCTGCTAAAACACGCATCAAGACTTCCATGGTGGCAGGAGATACTGCTTGAAGAGCATTCCTCTGAAACCCACAGAAGAAGAAAGTGATTAAGCAAAAAGTAATAATAAATAAATAAAATCCATTATCTTCAAACCAGCAGTTTCTATCTGAGTTATCTGATCACGCAACATGCATTATTATGTCTGTTAATGCCATGTAATTGTTAAATAAATATGAAATATTCTACTTGTATTACATCGATGGCTACAGATGAAATGTATCCCATCCTGTTCACTTAACTAGGCTTTCTTTTTCAAAGAGAATGCTTATAGGGAAAAGGAAATATAATTTAAATGCATGTTATAAAATTCATATAGGGTAGCCTTGATGAACTAATTCTAGGTAAATCTTCACTTGAATTTTCATTTTAGATCATGAGATTCATGATATTTTAAGGTTTTTGAAAAGAACATAATAATTAGCAGACGTTTGTCTGGGCCCTGAGTGCATTTCCCTCACCTCTCTTCCCGGGGGTCTGAGTGGATAGGCTCAGGGCCACCTTACGTCTGGAGCAGGAGCCCAGCCTCATAGAGAGCTTTGAGAAGCCTTGTCAGAGACTCCCTGCCTTCTCTAGGGAGCTGCATTCAAGCTGCAGCTCTCAACCTTTTACCTGCCTGAGCTACGCTGCAGTCCTGAGCTACGCTGCAGTCATGCCCATGCCTAGCCAGGTACTGTCTTGAACCTGACCCACAGACTTGACTGTCCAGGTTGATCTTAGACCTGTCTTATCACTACGGATGGGCCTGGCAACCACTGGACTCTTGACTGACCCTAGCTACCATCACTAGACCAAACCCCCACCCTGATATGCTGACCAGGCTTTCTGGCTTGATCTCAGGCTTCATCACGACAGACTTGTGATCTGCACCAGGTGATTCTGATTACTACCACCAGACCTGCTGTTCAGGTATAGTGAGACTGCATCTTTAGCCAGTGATGTCAACTGCCTCTGTCCACCTGGTCATCATGCTCAGTCTCAGCTTGCCTTCCCTGGTGGAGCAATGCCTGGCTTTGCTGATCTTGATAACATTTAAAAACTTTCTCTCTTCTGGATCATCAGAAGTAACATTTTTTTGTGACCAGACTAAGTAGCGCATTACAGTCAGCCAAGACAGTAGATGTTGGCTTTGCTGATGACGAACACCCTCTTTTCTTCACATTCTTTCAAATGTTTTAAACATCTTCCAAGCTATAAAGACCCTGTGCCTCTTACTGAAACAGCTTACTTCCAACGTTGCAAAGTAAGCTAGAAGAATTTCATGTGTTGATCTAAAACTTACATCTTTGCAGGTGGAAATTCCTAACCCAGTTACCCGTATTTTTTCTTTATGATATGAAAATATAACAGTAAGCTCATATGAATGCGTAGTTATTATAGACAGCAAATTTCTACTATTATTTGAAAGCAGGACCTGGCTTTTAGCATTTAGATACTATTGCACAGAATGACCCCAAACTTCATAAGACAAGCAAACAATTCATGGTCAATAATAAATTCTTCTCATTTATGGGTTATAGGTTATTTATAGGCCTTACACAATGAACAGGCATTTGGAGGCTTCAGCAGCTGGAAAGAGTTTAGAAAATCCTTACCTGACCACCAGCTACAATAGCTCCAAAGAGATGTAGCAGACAACATTTTAGGCTTTCTTTGAGATGTTCACTTTCTTGAAAGCATTCTGATTGGAGTAAATACAAATGAGAATTATTCCTTACTTTGGTCATGTAAATTGTACGAAGTTTTTCCTCTCAAAAAAACCCGCCAGTAAAAAAAATAAAAAACCTCCTCTACTCCCTGTCATCATGCAAATTGAAAAAAAATTTCAACTACATAATCTCCACTTTCTTTTACAGAAATCAGACACAAACACATCAATTCCAGCATTATCAAAGTAACACAAGACGACTGCGTTTACCAGGAATTCACAGGACCAGACTTCTAGCTTACACAAAATTTTTCATGCAGGCTGACAGAACTATAGACATACAAGAACTGTTGAGCTGATCCATAGTGTAAAATGAGCCCATTTTGTCCATTCTAATGAGAAACAGAAGGATGTGCTAACATGCAAGCAGTTAGCAAACATGACAAAGGTTAGAGAAATTTTGGCACAGAAAGTCTAATGCCATACGCAGTGCAGGTAGCTCAGAAAAACAGTCCCTGAGCTTGCTCCCTTTAAGCCAAACTTCCCAGGGAAGCCTGTGCAGGTCTGTAACCTTTCTAGCAATAGTCTCTTTAAGGACAATTATCTTGCATCTCTTCTCATGCCATATCTGATATAAATTAGTTATAAACAGCCTCAGGAACTCTTCTTAGCGATAGGTAGATCCTGGATATTGTTGCTATAGCAATAACACTAGATTCAAAGTAGCTGCAACAAACTACAAAGGATTTTTTTTTTAATTAACCATCGTAAAACTTCCAATTACTTTATGAAATAGAATTGATAATGACTCGGGTTTGTAAAAACTGAGATTTTAAACAAATAATAGAAACTGAAAAGCCAAGAATTTTATATTCCTTAAAATAATATAACCTTTAAGACAGTTACCAATTATTGGCAAGTAAGATTTCTGACTATATACTGAATGTATAAGCCTGTTTTAAAAGAAAATTGCACAGCTTGCTTTTTTTTTTTTTAAATCCAGTCTTCAAAGGAAATGAGGCTTAGATGATCACACTGCTGGTCTGCTAGTCCCACCACTCCCTTGAGTTTTAGCCTCTGAATCTTTTGCGGAACCTCAGACAAATTCAAAAGAGCAGTACCTAGCAGATTGTGAACAAATCATTAGGCCGGGTAGACCAAAAAAGCCTCAAATTAGGGCTGCCATGGCAGAATGTTTAAACCACATGCTCAGCATTTTTTTATTCTGTCTTTCTTGCCAGTTGGCCAACCAGCAGATGAGTGTCTGCCAGCTAACTGGTACTCTTGTAGCTCAGTCACAGTACATAATATTTAAGGGATTTAGAGGACCAGGGTGCAATGCGTTGAATGGGGAGGAGAAACCCTGCAGATGGCATTCCTCAGTACCAGCTTTTAGAGTGGGTTTCCAGCGCTCTGGCACAAAGATAATGACATTTTACTGGCATCAGCTCTTTGGTCTTTTTGGCAACTAGCTTATTTTACATACACACACAAGGAATCTCGAGGAACAGGAGGACTATGGGACTTCAACCTAGAGAAACTAAATTCGTAAATGCTACCACTCTGGGAATAGAACCTTCCCCTTTTTATTTTCAATTAAAGCTGAGTAAACACATAGCTGCAAAAAGGGCTGATTTCACTCACATCCCCAGCCCCCCAGCATATTCCTGCTACTGCTGCTTCAATTCTGTTGGCACTAGCACTTTGGTGTGCTACACTGGTAAACTAGCTGGGCATCCCACCTTCCCCAAGATTTAAGTACAGAACATGGCCACATAAGTCCTCCTTTTCCACACAGCCAATTTGTAATTGTAAGAACGCATGAATGCCAAAGGAGCCATCATGATATTTAATGACTTAACCAGACACAAAACAGAGCAGTTTCCCAAACTGCAGTCCAAGGAGCATTTGCTAGTTGGATGGCACAGAGTTTCCTTCTTTCTAGCTATTAAATCATATTAAGGGACAAAAATGCATGAACACTTTCCTAAGATTATTTTTCCATGCAAGTTATCATTACAGTTGCTACAGGGATCTTAGTCCAATCACTGTATGTACCCTAATAAATGGGAAAGTTGGCAATTCACAGAACCAACCCTATTAAATCATGTTAGGCACTGAAAGAAAGTCTGAAAAAAACAAGGCTTTCATCTTACAGATGAGCAAGAATGGCAAGATGGTGATGCTCACAGCAAAAAGACAAGAAAACAAAGCAACCCACTTCATTCAGCCTCAGAAAGCAAGTAAGTGGCTTTTACGTTTATCAGGCATTCTTAGGGGAAAGGAACTTGGAATCAGTACATTCACTCCTCCAAAAATGACTGTTTTTAAACATACTGTGATAATACTTACGGTAAAAGAAAGGGACAAACTCAACAGTGAGGGAAGCTGGTTTATACTTCTGTCTGCTCTTTTCAACTGTATTAAGGAAACGTCTGCAATTACATTAAAAAAGATACAAAGAAATTAGACATGATACCTTAGTTTATGACTGACTTACTGATTTATGACTTCATAGCAGAAAACACTGCCAAAAATCAGGATTTATCTTTTGCCTACAGCATTAAAATAGTAAAGTAGTATTTCATCCTGAAAAAATGAATCACAGCTAATCTCGTATTTACTGTTCTGCTCCTAGAAATACCTTTTTTTTTAAAAAACTAAACCATATTGTAAAAAAATTAACACCAACAAAAAACCCCACCACCATCTGTTACTTAAGTCTTTGCTTATTGTAACTAAGGCACCAGCTAGACTGCCAAATTTCTTGTCCGTGTAATTTGAAATGGGCACAAAACATTACTATGGGTTCACTGAATGGGGGGAACAACCATCAAATTAAAGTACACATAAACTTCTTTTTGAAGACACAACATATCTATACTGTCATCTTCAATAACTTCTTTTGCCCTAATTCAACCAGATTTGCCTACCCTATTCTTTTTGTCTGTCTCGTTCCATCAGTTTAGAAAAATGGGACAGTTTTTGAAAGGAGAAAACAACGGAGGCACCTTCATGTTGGTCAGCTACAAACGAACACCTCTTAGTATATCCTCAAATTTCACTCTGTTTTAACTTCCAGACTGCCAGTAAATATACTATAATTTTAAAAAGGTATTTAAATCATGTCCAGCTTCAGAAAGCATAATACTTTTCTGTGGTGTGATTATATTGATTCATTCTGCACCTTCATTGGTTGTAAATTTACTGATTTTGAGTACTTATACTCTACCTAAGATACTATGGGATGTACTGGCATTACCTACACTAAATCTGAAAACAGCTTAGCAGTACGCTGGCAGGCCATATGCAAGAACTGGTGTCAATTCATGCGCTGTCCTAGAAAAGGGGAATTCTGTTGCACAAAAATACCAGAAGCTGTGATCCTTACACGGTCCTTAAAACTTTGTGCACAATGATTCAAGCTGCTATTGAGAATACTACCTTTTGTTTCCATAACGGCCTCATGAAAACTGTAGTCCATGCAGTATTACGGCATACTGCAGGTTTCGAGCTACAAAAAAACCCAGCAGCCAAGATACACAGCTCACACAATCCCCACTCTGTTTGTACAGAGTCGGACAAGTGACTTGCTGCACAAATGCAAGTCACAGAGCTAGCACAAATGCTGTGCTAAATCTACAGAATGTCTGCGGTGAGAATGGACCTGAGGTTGTACAAGACTAGGTAACATGAGATATGATCCCTCTGTGCCTTTGGCTTTAGTTACTTGCATGCACAGGTCCAATAGTTCATGCATGTAAAAATGGTCCTGATGGAAATAAAATCGATGACCTAAAGGAAAAGCAGATCTGAATGGTAGAAGCAAGGAGCAAACAACAACTTCAGCTCCTGTACTCACAGCAGAAAAAACACATTAACTATACAAGACTATGTACATTTAACATTACTGTAATTCATTTGGGGGTAATAAGGGAGAACTGTACATGAAAAAGATCTCAAAGAAATTTCTAAGAGGTCTCTGAAAAGCCTGTTACAGCAGATAAAGTGAATCACTAGCAGTTTCTAGCCTGTGCCTAGAATGACAGAAATTAAGCAACTCGGAAATCCCATTTCCTGGCTCTCTACATTTCCCACCTTTCAAAAAGCCTCACAACTCAGCTTTCTAAATGGAACAGGATATATTAGTACTCTGAAAACCTTGATGGCAATGAAGTTCAGTCTCAAGCACCCCTGCTTCATGATTTTAATTCTGGTAGAAAAACTATTTCATTAATGCTATTCCAAAGTGTGTACCTCAGGGGGGGAGGGGGGCGGGGAATGGGATGGGAGGACACAGGACGGACACGATGACACCTAAAACACAGTATCACATGCTCAAGGCTATTAATTCTGACAGTTGTAAAATTCAACAGCAGAAGAATATACATGTAACTAATTTTTATTTTAGCTTGACATCAGGCAGCAGTAGTTCTGTCGGAAACTTTACATATTGTTTATCTAAAGTTATCATAAACCACAGTATTTATAATCCTGTCCTAGTCCACACGTACCCTGCAATTCGTTGCCTCCAGTTTCGATATGGATCGTAGAGACTTTCACAAAAAGCCAATGCGTGTCTCACAAATTCTTCTATGGGAGTCTGATCTGCCACTTCTTTTTCTTTTGTTTTACTTTTTAACTGTGTAAGAAAAGCAAGCTGCGGTCAGATTTCTAGAAGTTGAAAGTTAATCTTGATCTCCTCCAGAACAGTTCTGAGCCCACAAATTGTTCCCCACACAACACTATTATTGAAAAAGCAGATCACAGAAGCAGGAGCAGGAAGTATCGCATGGAAAAAATAACAGATGAGAATTGTTAACCACATACCTGTTGAATGTATAACGTAGTCATGGTGATAACATGGTTAATGTATGAACACATCCCGATCTCCTCCACATTAGCCAAATTTCTATGAAGAGAACACAAAAACCACAGAAATGTACACAGTGTACCATTTGAGGCTAGTTCAAACAATGTTTGTTTTAACATTCTGTCTATAATCATACAAAAGTGTATCAGCATTTCAAAAATACTCTCCTAAAGACTGCATGTACTCAAATGTTTATTTCTGTCAGAGTAACAAAGCTCACAAGTTTTCTTCTAACAGGAAGGAAAAGAAAGGCCCAAGTCACTATGCTGTAGGCCAATTCTATCAGGAATGCGGGGTTTCAGAGGTTAAGCAGATTCCCAGGACACTCTAAACAGAAAGCTCAGAAATGGCATCTGATAACAAAGACAATAACTTCCACTTTTCCCACATTACTGGTGCATACACTTCCTAAAACTTTAGCAAATATATTACCTAGAAGCTTTTATTCACTTAAAATTCTCCCAAGGAAAACAATCATCTAATAAATTATTTTAGAACATAAATAAATCAACAGCAACAAAGAAATAGTGTGCACATGTTATTTCTCAGTCTTGAGGACAAGTCAAAGATCAGATACTGAAGTGATGACATAAGGAGAACTTTTCGGCAATTAAATAAGACTGACAACAGTTTGTAATTCAGAAACACATTGCCACCATCTACTCATCTTATATTTAATACTTTAGGATACTTAAACACTGCCCTAGAGCCCTTTGTATTTTTCGGGGGAGCAAGGAGAGCCGAAGGACTCAAAAGCTGCTTCAAATACTCCTCAGAAAAGGAGATTCCCTATTATATTTTATCCCCTTCCTCTCTTACTGCAGTTTGCAATAAAAGATTGAAAAAATAGCGAGGAACAGATCCCTAAAAACAGTTTGTTCACCTGCTTCAAAAGAATTACAAGATAAAGCTTAAGTTTCAGAAGGAAGCCGGTTGCGTTAATAATGTAATAAGTCAGTTTCCTAAGCTGTTTATGGAATTATAAGCATGTTAAGAATGTGAAATAGATCTTCCTCTACAATTCTCTCTTGAGTCATTTCATATCCAACACTTGTTAGAGTGTGCCTTTTCTTTTAGAAGTATTTCAGGTACTTCCATACAGATACCATATACAGGTACATGGTATCTAGAAATCCCATAGATATATCTTGTGTAATTACAAGGAATTTAGTGTCTAATCCCCTTCAATTCCATTTCTCATGGCAAACATTATTGCTAGATAATTGCTCCCTTCTTTCTCTTTTATTCCCTCTTCCTTTATTTTGAAGATTGTGAGAAGTGCCATTTCTCTGTTTCTACTGGAAAGTGTCAAAACACACTGTATGTGTCATTAGACTATATTTATAGGCTGCATCAAAATTTCTTAAAGAAAACAATAGCCTCACTGAGGTAACGATCAGAACAGATACCTGCAAAGGATGATAAAGAATTTCACAAGTAAAAGTGACAGAGCCTGCTGCTGCTCTTCTAGTCCATCTGACATTTTCTGGACACACTGTAGCAGCTGGAGCCTGAGGACCTGAAGAATGTTATCAGGAAGCAGTGATATTCCTGGAGGAATGTCATCCACCCTAAAGAGAAAAAACACATACAAAATTGTTAGTCATGCAAATGTCATGTTACCAATCAATTTCAATGTGCTCCCATAGCATTCCAATAAACCACTATAAGAAATGTTACTGAACTGATGGCTCACAAATACTTTCCAATGAACCACAAGGAAATGAGGCAGCAATGTGCCCTTGTGGCCAAGAAGGCCACAAGGCCTGGGGTGCATCCTGGGGTGCATCAAAAACACCGTGGCCAGCAGGTTGAGGGAGGTTATCCTCCCCATCTGCTCTGCTTTGGTGAGGCCACATCTGGAGTGCTGTGTCCAGTTCTGGGCTCCCCAGTTCAAGAACGACAAGGAACTACTGGAGAGAGTCCAGCAGAGGGCTACGAAGATGATCAGTGCACTGGAGCATCTCTCATGAGAAAAAGCTGAGAGATCTGGTTCTGTTTAGCCTGGAGAAGAGAAGATTGAGAAGGGATCTCATCAACACTTATAAATATCTAAAGGGTGGGTGTCAGAGGATGGGGCCAGATTCTTTTCAGTGGTGCCCAGCAGCAGGACAACGGGTGACAGGCACAAACTGGAATACAGGAAATTCCACCTCAACATGAGGAATAATTTCTGTACTTTGAGGGTGACAGAGCACTGGAACTGGTGGCCCGGAGTGGTTGTGGAATCTCCTTCTCTGGAGATATTCAAAACCCGCCTGGATGTGTTCCTGTCCAACCTCCTCTAGGTGAACCTAATTTGGCAGGGGGATTGGACTAGATGATCTCCAAAGGTCCCTTCCAACCCCTACCATTCTGTGATTCTGTGAAATGCCTGGTGACAATATGCCAGCTTGAACTTCCTTTTCCCAGCAATGAACTGCATTGAAAATAAAAGTGTTAAAAATTCATTAAGTGGATTCCTAAATGCATCTCCATGCAAAGATCTGCCTTAATTGTCACAGAGAAATTGCATGATCTTCAGCAGGTAAGCGGGTGGCCTGGAGAATCCCTAAACAAGGAAAGGGTTGGGCTCAATGGAATGAAACACGACAAATAAACACAAGGGGAACATTTTCAACTTTCTACTGAAGATTAAAAGTGTCCAAATAAATGAGATTCCAATTATTAAACAGTTATTGTAGCCCTGCTGGTATTCATCCACAGTCAATCTCATGTCTGTCTTACATGAGTTACAAAAAGCCATACAAAATAAGATCAAATACGAAAAGAAAACTGTTCAGGGTCTGAACGTGCAGGAGAAAGAGCTCTCAAAAATCCATCTGACTCTTGGCACACTGATTTTGCATGAAAAGCTGACTCATCCTTATTAGTTTCTGGATATCATTAACCCAGCAAATAGTTTTTTTCTGCTACCTAATTATTCTTAGAAGACAACACACTGTTGTGTTGGTGTTAAGTGTGACAACTCTACCAAGGCCAGACATGGCCCCAAAGAACATTAGGTATTCTTGCCTATTGTTTTTGCTAAACTGAAACATTTTTAGAAATACAGCAGCAAGAACCAAAAGAAGAAAAGAAAAAGGAAGGAAAAAAAAATAATCACAAATAAAACCAGTAGCTAAGCCAACGCTCCAGGAACAGCCATACAGAAACCCATTTCAGCAACAGTATAGAAATATATAGATGTGTTAGAACATTCTCTGGGATGAAGACTGTTTATCCACTGTTGCACATGCTCAAAGAGAGTTTGCCTTTGGCATCAGCTGTTTACCCTGACACATTCTCTATGAACTCTACACAGGAAAAGGCCACAAGCAAGAGCCTTACAACTTACAAAAGCCTTCAACATGGCCAAAGCCAGGGGGGAAATTACAACAAACAAAGAATTCAGCTAGCTCAAAAATTCACTAATATGACACTTGCATACATACATCTTTGTAAGAATAAGCAGCAAAAAGTGTGAAGAAATGCAAGGACTGACAGTAAACACTGTGATACCAATTATTTCATGGAAATCAGGTACAATACATTGTTTAGCTTCTAAGTTGAAAAGGAATCCTATATAGAAGGGAAAAACTGAGACTCAATTTAATAAAACAACTGGATAGGTATAAGTGACAGCAAGCTCCCATGTCCTAGAAAACAAGTGTTATCTATACATATACAGAGGACCAAATACTGTTCATTCCCTCGCCTCTTCAGAGAGTTGTGCAATATGCTTTTCAGATCCTGGGATTCAGAATCTTAAGGGATTCAAAAGGTTTTGACACAAATTTTGTAGGGCCTAGGCTCTAAACTGATAGAGACACTAACCACAAAACTGAGAGCAACTGCGTTTTACCAACACAACTGCCAAGAAAGAAATTTTAATTTCTGTGATAGCAGCTTCACCCCTCAAGATGCCAGCAGATCCATACCCTCTAGGACTATAAGCATGGCTCCTCATAATCGGATAATTCACCATCTCTGTATAAGGAAGACCATAATTTTTGATGGCTGAATTCATATATCCAGAAGTAATTTCCCTAAAATGGCCAACAAGCCTTTTTCAGTAAGATCATAAAATGCTTTACAAGAGAGCAAACAGCATACCCTTCATGCCTCACATCCCAAAGAATGTTTTCCTTGCAGTAGCTGCCTGACTGTGCTATTGCACAACCCATGAGAATTTACTGCCTTATGCGAGACTGGCACAAGAAATACTAATCGGGATTACTCAAACTGAATATACTACAGAGTACATAAATAAATATAAATATTTATAAATAATCAAACTTCTTTTCACCCCAGAAAAAATTACTATTATATCACCACAAAAATCAAAAAGTTGAATTTGTGGACACATAGTATCAATTTTTCCCCAACAAGACTAGGTGTGTAAACTAAGTATGCCAAAAGGGAAAAAAAAAAACCAATCTCAAAAATCATACCTTAACTGATGTTCTTGTTTGACTGCTGGTACCCTACCTCAAAAATATGAGAAAGACCTGGACACATTGGGTTCTTCTTATTTATAATTTCCTTGCATTACATTAACATGGCTATGCAGCAATATAAACTGCCATCTCATGTGTCTGAAAGGAAGTTAAATTAATCTCTAAATCGTATTCACCTATTACAGCTCAAATTCACACACTGGGACTTTCAACCTCCCCTCTGCCAGTGTTAAGCACTTTGGAACAAAGTGCTGCAGAAAACCAGGCTTTACTTTTCAACAACCATGAAACCATGTAACCAGCATTCCTATCATGATTCCCGCATCATTTTTATGTGGGTTTGAAGTCAATAATTTAACAAAGTATGGTTTCTATGGTACTTTGCATGAACTTCCTTTAAGCTCCTTTGCTCGAGATCATGCAAAACAAAAGCAGAAAAAGAGCATGACAACACTCTGGAGGCCTTTGTTGTTTCTAAAAACATTAAACCAAATGACAATTCCTTCCCTTCAATGAGGGGGAAAAAAAACCCTCCCACCAGCTGGTAAAGGTTTTATCCTTTTCATGGTAAACCAGATGAAAAAATGCTTTTAGGGAA